TACTCATCCAAGTAATTCCTCAATTAAGAGTAAATAATAGCAACTGAACTCATGTACTAAGGAGTTAATGACTCATTGCATCCGATTTAACATCTATAGGGATTTTATCTGACAGAATGTTATGTGCAAATTCTAGTATTTAAAACTGTAATATGAAGATGCAAATAAATAAGAGGATTTCAAGAAACACTTTTTAAATCAGCCTATATAGCCAATCTTTATAGTAGGTAATGCATATAGGAATAAGGAAATTCTTGCTGTATTACCTACTGTTTACTGATCTCCATGTAGCTCAAGTTACTCAAGGTGGGCAGAGAAACCAGAAAACTTACTCAATAATACTCACAACAAAATCCTCAAGCGAAACTAAAAAGTATGGAGATGTACAACTACTAAGTTTTTGTTTGTCTTTTTAAGTTACTTAGATATGTATAAATGCAATTAGTTTCTGCCCAGCCTTACTGTGTATCCTGTCAGACTGAGGTTGACAAATTAAGTCATATCCAAACACCTTGAAGCTTTAATTGTATCAATCAGGAAGTCTACAAGGTGTTGCCAGGTCACTGTATGGTAAAATATTAGGAAAGAATTACTTGTTTTCTGTCATCTCAGGTATAACTGTGCTTTTTTTTCTTCAAATAAAATCCCAGTAAAATGATGTAAAGTTTATGGTTGCAACTTGCCAAAATGTTAAAAAGTCCAAGGGATCTGAATACTTTATTTATGTACGTGATTTCAAATCCTGAAGTGTTCACTTGTCTCTTATGTAAGTACTAATAATTATAAAAGCTAAGTTGTTTTTGTTGAGTTTTTTTTTTTTTTTACCAGTAAAACTCTTCGTTTCATCGTTTCTTACCTAAACTCTGGTGCAGAGTTGCTCTTCAGACCATAAAAACCAGCAGACAAGGTGAGCAGCCAATATGGCACAAAAGTCCCATGTTCACACTCCAGGTAAGGCGCGGACCATCTGATCTGGTTCTTGCTCAGGAGATAACTTCCACTGTTGGGGCCCGATCCATCAGGGGCGCCTCCGCGCGCCTGAGGTCTCCTCCCGTCCCTGAAGTCATGGAACCAGTCAGACTCCGGGCTCCTGTTGTTCAGGTGACGGCGCGCTGACCCAGACAGGTCCTGCAGCACCACCTCATTTCCAGTCCTGGTCGCCTGGAGAAAAACATGAGGTCCTGGGGTCGAGGCGTCCGTGTGCAGGGTCACCACTGCCCTGTGGATTTTCGGATCCCCCTCCAGGATGCTTTGAACCAGCGCGTGGTACCAGTGGATGTCCCTGTGGAAGGTTCGCTCGCGGGACCTGTTAGTTTGCAGGATCATGTTGAGGAAGTTGGTGGCGTGAGCCACCGTGTCCAGGACGCTGTGCAGGGAGTAATGAGAGGCGACGTGGAGGCCGCCACGCAGACTGCTCAGCTCATACCTCCGGGAGCAGTTGACCTGCCTCAGAGCGGAGGAGTCCCCGGTGTGCAGGAAAGCCGTCACCACCCTGGGAAGGTCCTCCTCTATTTTGTGCGCCACCACCGTGCGCTCTGTCGGCTGTAGCGGGTACGAGGTGGGCTGGAGGGGCGGCTCCCGCTTGATGCTCTGCGTGCTAAACACTGGCGGGTTTTTCTCGTCTCTGTCGTTTTCCGACCATTCCACGTATCCATAATTTGATCCCAAAACGAGTCCTGTTTGCAGAAGCAGCGGGAGGAGGATCAGAGCCATGGTGGTTCCTCACAGGCGCAGAGGGGACACCGCGGGCACCTGGCAAACTGCGCTCATCGCCAAAGCTCCTCTAGGTGCTGCGATTAGGGATACTTTGTCAAACACGAGCGACAGCAGTTCCTGAATTTCATAGTCATGACGTCTTCAAGAGCGAAAGGAATCCCCCCCCCACTTCTGATCGGGGTTACAGGAAAAGCGCAGACTTTCAACAATCAGCGGTCCAAAAACATCCTCGATCTTCTCTCCTGGTCTAAACTCACTCACAGGCTGGAGCTGCTGCTTCTCTCCCTGCTGCTGATGAGCAAACAAACCGAGGAGCAGGATGTCAAGAAAACGTTCTTGAACTTCAGTCCCTCCCAAATAAAACCTCAACAGGCAACACGAAGAGTCGCCCACAGAGTGTGCATGAGTAAATGTGTGTGGTTGTTTCTAAGTGGGAGTCTGCAGGGAGTGGGCGGGGCGTGGGAACAACGGGAGCTGTCCGGTGCTGAAAGTAGCCGGAGGAAAACAGGATGAGAGATGTTGGTGGAGAAGGAGAGACCTGAGGGACTGGGAAGGAGGCGCAAACTGGGAACAAGAATTTATCTAAAAGCGGAATAAAGCAGGGGAGGGGGGTTAGATTTAAGCAAGTGCTCAAAAAAGCACAACAGAACGGTGCGTGGTAAGCTTTTATGTCATTTGCTCTCTATTTTCCATACTTCAAATAGCAGTGGCTTAGTGGTAACAATAATACAGTTTCTTTTAAGTTACAGTAGAGCATCGGTTCTAAGCAACTAATAAAAGAAAGAGTACAAAATCAAACTGCAGAATTTATAAATGTGATAAAATCGACTTTCAACTTCAAATTTTGTATTTATAATTCAATTTATGTCACCTTGAGCATTTATCTAGGAAGAAAGAGCTTTGTGTAAAATGTAAAGAAGGGCTTTCAAAAAAAATGTCACTTTAAGTTGACACTATTAGTCCATTTCTTTCTGCTGTTTTTCAGGTGAGGTCAACATTTAAATGATAGTAGTTTTAAATGAGCTGTAAATCCAGAGTAGCATTATTCTAAATGATACAGAACTCAGGAACTACTAAAAACCCAGTTGTTTGATAAAGTGAAAAAGTTAAGAACAATGAAGAAAATATTTCACGCTGTTATTTTATGGAACTCTTACTGTTATCAGATTTAGAGTATTAAGCAAGTAAGTAAGTAATATTTATTTTTATATATAGCACCTTTCACAGACATAGAGGTCACAAAGTGCTTCACAAAATTACGGTACAATGCAAATAAAATACATTTACAGTCTCAAAAGACATGGTCATAAAACAACCCTTAATCTACTAGAATTAAAATGCTTTCTTAAACAAATAGGTTTTTAGTTCCCTCTTAAAAACCTAAACAGAATCAAGTGAGCGCAAAGAAAGCGGAAGATTGTTCCAGAACGCCGGCGCCACCGCCTGAAAGGAGCGATCTCCCCTGGTCCTGTAACAAGTACGAGGGACCATGTGGTCCCTGAAGGTTTTTTAAACTGGAACTGAAAAGAGACTGGGAGCCAATGAAGAGGTTTTAGAATCGGTGTAATATGAGCCCTTCTGTTTGTACCAGTCAGTAACCTCACTGCAGAGTTCTGAACCTGCTTAAGACGAGACAACTCTTTTTTGTTTAGACATGAGAATAGACTGTTACAGCAGTCTAAACAGTAAGACTCAAAGGTGTGGATAAACTTTTCAAGATCTTCTCTGTCACGATTATTCTAAGTTTAGAGATTTTCCTCAGTTGGTAAAAGGAGTTCCTTGTCATCAGGTTTGAGTGGTGCTCTAAGGACAACATTTTGTCAAAAATGACACCAGGGTTTCTAAGGCTTGGTTTAGCAGACAAACTGGTATCAGGTGTTGCCCAGATACTGGTAGATACCTGGAATAGCATCATCAGGGGCAATATCCCGCACCTTTGTTTTTTTTTAGTGTAGTTGCAGGGAATTTACACCAAGCCATTTTTTTATGTGCACAAGACAATTCAGGAGATACCTTAACTTCTGGATCTCTTAGGATTTAAAAGAGCAGTAAAGCTGGATATCATCACCAAACAGATGAGGGACTGATAAGATCACATATGTTGTGAAAACAATAACAGCTGAAATACAAGCATAGGCACCATCTTGCCTGATGAATCCATTCAATTTAAAGTGGTTTACGCTTTAACATGAATTCAATGATTACAGTGTATTACTGTATTTTTTTTTTTTTTTTTTGCAGTTACAGTAGTTTACTGGAAGCAGGGTTGCCAACAATGTAATGTTATTCTACAGGATTCTTACTGTTGACAGATTTACAGGTTACTGTTTAAACAAACAAATTGGTGATGCTTTGACCATTTAGTTTAAATTATGTTATTCTCATCAAACATTGCAATTCAGTTATGAACTATACCATTCAGCAAGATAATAAAAGCTTACGCTTGACATTTGAGGTAATTTATTTAACAAAAAGGACAACAAAAACAATTGGTAATACAAACAAATATTATTGACCTTTTATATGAAAAAATATAATTTCAAGACAAGAAATGTTCCAATTCCTTTTTCTTATTTGAAACTTGAATTGCACACATAAAAGTTTTATCATTAAATGAATAAAATATCCATTTAAATAGGAGTAGAAAAATAAAAAATTAAAATGTTTTAAAGAGAAAATTACCCTCTGCTTGGAGGTTTCCTTGCAGAACTTTTCCAACCAAATCTTAAAATAGGCCTAATTTAAAAAAAATCTACTTTTGTATTAAAAGGTAAACCAAAAATATCACTAATTGGACTTGCCTTAATGTCAAATAGGAATGGATACACCAGAGAAATAATACAGTTACTTATCACTATTCTTTTCAAAGTAAGGTTGTTGTTTCCTAAACTTCTTCTGAGTAGTCAGCATTAAACAACATTAAGGCTCTGAATTTCCTCTAATGACACATCAAAGTCTGCTGAACATAAATTACAAGCAATTTAGATTACCAAAGTGACATTGTATACTTTCAGTTGCTGTGAGATGTGCTGCTTGCTTTTTGGCATCAACTACATCAGGGGTTGATAACATTGTATTTGAAACACAGTATTGGCATTATTGGACCTTTTCTGAGGGAAAAAAATGTTATCAGATGTGCCAAGTATAGCTCTTCCTTTAGAGTTATATAGATTAAATTATAGCAATATCCACTTAAACAATACAAGTTACGTATGGGTTAGAATCTAAAGCTGGATCAAGCTTTTACTCTTGCTTCAGTGCAGAAACTTTCCTAGCCAAATGAAAGTTATTGAGCTTTAAAGAGCTGATTCATTGCTTCCTAATGAAGTTGATTGAAAAAACATATCAGCTTTACTGTTTTCTACTAGAAGCAGCACACAACAAATCTAAATGTGTTAACAGAGATAACAAGTTCCGTTCAAATCAACATGTTGCTAAAACAGATTTTAACCATTTTTGAGCAGAACTTTTAAAACTATATATTTGAATAAGTCATTTTTATAAAACTAAATAATAGAAGATTTCGTCTTAAGGCCTTTTTTTAACATTGGGACTTTATATATTTGTTAAACAGCTTATGGTTTTTGAAGTTGGACCAAAATGCAAAACAACTACCCCGAAGCAGCTTGGTGGGTCTTAATGTTTCTATAATGAAAACGAAAAAAAAAAAAAAAAAGTACAGTCTTGGTAAAATAAATAACTGCAGGTATAAATGTGGACAAACATGGCTTGATTAGTGAGAGCAGCTCGAAGCTAAAAAAAAAAATCATGGCCTCAACAGCCAAATCTTTTTTAGATCTGAGCTTCACTGGGGTTTTTGTGCACACAAATAAATGTATTGTAATTGTAACCCTAGCAAAATATGAAGGGCGTTGCCGTAAGGTGAAAGTAATCCCCTCTGTCAAGTATTTTATATTTCCTAATCAGTTTCCTCCAGGCTTGTGCTGCATTCAACTACATCCATCTTTTATTACCTCTAACCAGTGTCCCAACTGTGTCTTGAGCTCGATGCCACCAACACCATGCTTTGCAGAATTAATCACCACGGTGGTGGGCCTCATCAGAGACAACAATGACCAGGACTACATAGAGGAGGTGGAGCAGATGGTGGACTGGTGCAAAGATATCAACCTGATCCTGAAACTGGAGAAGACAAAGGAGATCATCGCCAGCTTCAGGAAGAACCGACCAAACCACGCTCCACTGGTCATCAACAGCTCAGCTGTAGAGGTGGTCAACAGCACCAAATCCCTGGGGGCGAACATCACAGACACCCTAACCTGGACTGCAAACACCACCTTACTGGTCAAAAGGGCACAGAAGTGCTTGTACTTCCTGCAGAGGATCAGGAGAGCCCACCTGAACCCACCCATCCTCACGACCTTCTTGAGAAGCACCATAGAGAGCGTTCTGACCAGCTGTCTAACTGTGTGGTTTGGAGGCTGCAGCTCCTCAGACTGGTAGAAGAGATCATCGGAGCTCCTCTTCCCTCTATAAAAGACATTTAATCCCAGCGCTGCGTGTCCCGAGCCTGTAACGTTATCAATGACCCCTCACACCCCCACCATGGACTGTTCTCCCTGCTGCCCTCTGGGTAGAGACTTCGCAGCATCCACTGCGGGTCCAGCAGGTTCTATAACAGTTATTTCTCCACTGCCATCAGACTGTTGAATTATTAAAAAAAAATAATAATAAATCAAGTCACAAATCGATACTCTGCATGACACTGATAACACCAATCCAAATAGAACTCAACTCAAAAATGTTTTTCCAGTACATTTTTTTTTTACCATATATTTGTTTTTGCACTGTTATGAACTTTTCCATCAATGCCTTTTGAACCATCTTTTTCTCCCACACTGTCTACATTCGATCCATTGCACTTTATGAAATGGAAATGTTTACTTCACTGTTAAGCTGCTGCTCATTCACTGTCTGAAAGCTGTACAAACCAAAATTTCGTTTTGTATACACTCTGTTTATACAAAATGACAAAAGTCGTCTAAGTGTAAGAATGGGTAGGATGTGCTTTCTGCCACGTGTGGTGTTTGGCATGTAGACCAGAACATCCGGTTTTCATCACAGCACCTTCTCCCATACATTTGCTGCCTTATCATGTCCAATGACTGTCTCATCAACAGATAAACTGAGCTCAGTGAGATGTTCCAGACCTGTGATATTGCTTTATAGCCTAACCTAATCTCAGAACTCTCCATCTTCTGCAGACAGAACAGAAATACTAGAGATACTGACATTAAATGGCTCTAAGGGGACTTTTGATACCGAGCTTTTTTTAGTGGATGTCATTTATTTTGTATCTTTTGTATTCCCTGCCATTATTAACACGTATTTTACGACTTTCTCTTGACATCCCAGTTCTTAAACGAAGTTTTCATGTCGGTTTTTTTTTTTGTTTTTTTTATGAGAATATGTCTGAGATCCTAATGCAAATCGACGTGCATTCCCTTTTTCTATAGAAACTGATACAGTTGTTGCCAAATTTCAGCTGGGATAATGGTGGGAAGGCCAGTTTTCCTTTATTATCAGTTTTTTTTTTTTTATCTGCACAGCACCCAAATTAATAGAATTGACATTTTCCACCTTAAATCATATTTCTCCAACTCCTGCCTTTTGAGGCAACTATCCAGCAGCTTTTAGATGCATCCATGCTCAAATGCACCTAAATCAAATGAATGCCTCATTTACCAGGAGTTTTGCCAAACATGGTGACCTGCTGAAGATGCAATACTGCAATTTGATCCAGCTGCGTCACAGCAGGGATTGGTGTAAAATGGACAGCAGAGTGAAAAATACATATTCCTCTAGCAGATTGTCAAATTTCAAAAAAAAAAAAAATATATATATATATATATAATTCTAATGATAAAAAAGAGATATAACTCTTGATTTTTTTTTTTACGTTTTTTATCTTGCCTTGTGGCACTGTAGCTGTTAAAATCATGACACCCCTCAGAAAGACAATAAGCACTGCAGGTAAGTTAAATGCTCACTTTACATTGCCTGGATGTAAATGTATATACCGGTAATGGTTTGGTGGCCTGTGTAGAGAGTAAGCTGCCCGCCTCCCATCTCCCTAAAAAAGACGAAATTGTTATCTGCGTCAAGGATTATAGAATAAACACATTAGGGGGTTCACAAAGTTAGAATAGCCCCTAATGGTGATGTTGGGGTCATTTCTTAGTTAGAAAACAGCCTTTTTTTCTGGGTTACTCTAGCAGCCTACGTAATCTTGCAATTATTTCACTCACGACAAGATTGAAAGGCTTTCTCTCTCTGTTATTTTAAACAGAAATATAAAAGATGTTTATCAGCCTCCTTGAACAACCAACTGCTTTAAACCCCCTACAATCCATTATCAGCCTCCTTGAACAACCGGAAGACTGAAAGGCTTTCTCTCTCTGTTATTTTAAACAGAAATATAAAAGATGTTTCCTTATGACAACTTAATTATACCAGAAAGGTTACCCTGATATACCCTATGTACAGAGATGTTGGCAGGAAAGAAAGAAGTATTCACGGATCTATTCGCCACATGGTAGTTGAAACTCCCATTTCAGTCCTTATACCACCTGATTGTCTCTTTTATTGATCAGACAGTGTTGTGTCCAGCTGTGTCTGTCTCTTTTTGTGGGCAGTCAGTCTCACAGTGCTCAAGCGCATTTTTAGGGCTGATTGGAGGTCGATCTGGATTGTGAATTGTCATTAAAGGGTGCAGCTCACCCGGGATGACTTGCAGGCTGTTTCCATGGCAGTGGAAGGTGATGGCACAGCGTCATGGACATGAGACTCTCAGCCTGTATTAATCACATGAAACTGCTGCTTACATTTCCTCTATTGATCCAGTTTGCCAGTTTGGTGTTTCTTCATGAAAAAATGCAAATGATGGAGGATAACTTGTAGATGTATAATGACAGACACAGCAGATTAACCTCATTTTAGACTTCTTTCAAAATTACTGTTTTGCAAACTTGCATAAATCCCCAAGCAGGGCGGGCATCATCTCAGTAGTGAAAATGAGGGGCCATGCAAAGTGACAGCTCCTGCTTCGCATTTTATCTTCTTTTAAAGGCTTTGCTGCAACCCCTGGCTTGTTAAATAATTGATGGGCATTTGCTGCTTCATCTGCATGCTTTCCAACTTGGGCAACACTTGCGGCCGTTCTTTCACCCACACTTCCTGCTTTCCCAGAGGTTCTTTTAATTTAGCCCAGAGGAGAGGCAGGGGTGTATGTGTCAGAGAGAGAGAGAGGTTTGTTGTCCCTATGATGTTTTTTTCCCTTTGCACAGGAGCCTGATTAACTGGAGACCCCAAATCTCAGAAGTTTGTGTTTGCTGACAACGTGCAAACTTTTTAGGATCTAAAGTTTCAGATTTAAAGTCTCTAAAGTAAAACAGGATGACAATAAAACCATCTTTACTTAGGATATAATATACTCTAACAGCTGGAGATATAGCGGAAAGCATGAGAAAAACCATGGTAACCAATCTGCTTTAAACCCCCTACAATCCATTATCAGCCTCCTTGAACAACCGGAAGACCATCAAAGGAAAAACAGAAAAAGACAAAGAGAAAAGGATTCAAATAGTTCAATTTCAATTTTCTCTACAGTGAATTGCTATTTGATTTACCTGCTCTGTCCAATAAGCTTAAATCAGGGATGTTTATTATCTTTAATTAAAAGTAAAAGCTTCAAAATAGAATAGAACAACCATATCAATATTGGGAGTGATACAGATGAATTACACATGGAATAAACAATACATTTTCATTTGCAAAGTTTGGAAAAATCAGGTACCATTTTTTCTTTTTTTAACTGGTTGCTTACTTTGCTTGGGTCTATCAAAGAAAACTTCAATACAACACTGTCCCATAACTAACAAGTTTCAATCATATAACACCTTAAACTCCCACATGACCAAAGATGCTGTGAACAATGTAAAAAAAAAAACAACCATCATTTGATAACATTAAATCAATATTAAAATCAATTCAAGAATACAGAAATTTGTAAATAAAATGTGATTAGGTAAAAGGGATTTTAATAACACCACGTTGTGTAAACATAATAACACATTATGTGTAAAGTAATTTAAAAATTTTAGTAAAACAGTTTATTTGGTCAGAAGACAGCAGTTAATAAAAAATCATTTTAAGTCCACAACTTGCAGTGTGTCAAATAATTGGCCAGTACACACCATAATTTATTATTATTATTATTATTATTATTATTATTATTATTATTATTATTATTATTCTAATCATATCACCTTTCTGAATGGAGTTCTACCTGAAATATCTAGAAAAAGAAAAAGATCATCGGTGTGTTTAAATGTTTAAATGTGGGCTTTCCAAGCATTTTTAGGGCTCTTTAGAGTTAGAAGATTGTACTCTGATTCACATTGTTCACAGATGGCTCATCTGACTTCACAAACACCTAGCTTGTGTTTACTCAAAAGCACACCCACGCTGACAGCCTTCAAAGTTTTCTCATGCTATGGGGGAGGAACAGTCACGCGTGGAAACAGCTCGCATGGAGAGTAGGAATCTCCCGTTTGTAGTATTTTAATTAACGTATACGCAACTTTTCAACTTTAACCTCAAGAAAACTTGGGTATGAAACTGATCCCATCTGATAAATTCTGTACATTTACGTGTTTTTTGTTCGTTTGTTTGTTTTGTTGTTGTTGTTTTTGCATGAAATCATGGAATATGCAGTCCCTTTAAATATGAGCGTCACTTTTTAAAAGTCAAAAAATGCCTTTGCTGACACCTACAGGTTCTTATTGTGTACTACAGGCAGAAATATTGGGCGTTTATTATTCTACGCTTTAAATATCAGTTTTTCGACTTATCAAACCTAGATTTAAAGTTAGTAGGGATTTATCATAACTAATTACAATATACGTGTATGTTTTTTCGCTATAGGTTACTAAATATCGAATAATTAACTTTACATTCACCGGTCGGTGACATTTCCAACATTTTATCTAGGTTATCAAACCTAGATTTAAAGTTATTAGGGATTTATCATAACTAATTACAATATACCTGTATGTTTTTTCGCTATAGGTTACTAAATATGCAATAATTAACTTTACTTTCACCGGTCGGTGCCATTTCCAACATTTTCCGAGGTACGCAAATGCAGCATTTAAGTAACAACCAATGAGGACGGCCGATGGAAGTCAGTGGTGGTAGCATTGTAGCGTTATAGAGAGACAAAAGTTAGCTTCTCATGACTTACATCACATTCAGCGAGGTAATATCTTTATTTTTCGCTTTGACAGTAATTGTATTGTTTTGTTTTCGTTCATAGACACCCGTGTCGTTTTCTGTAAGACACACAAAGTAGGCAGTGAAGTGAACGTTTAAGCAACACCTGACGTCTGAATTAGCTCATATAGATGCTAACTGTTAGCAACGGTTAGTTCGAGAGCAAAGGTAATAAACTGACGATGATTCAATGATAGGACGATGTTATCAGCGATTCTAACGCAGTGTTATTCGGCCACTTTATAGGTACATTTTCTACGTTAAATTATTTACCTTTTTTTTTATCTAATCGTTTCCATTTTATCGGGACGTTACTTAATTTTAACGGTTGTGCAAGTTACAAAAGCAGTCCAAGTAGTGGCTTTCGTTTTTAACCGTTAAATAATAACGTTCATTTCTCCCACTTCATTCAGGAGGAGTTCTGCAAAGATCACCACTTTATATCACTGGGATTTGCTAATATTTTCTCATGGACAGCTGTCAACTGTTTCACCTGTTAATCTATTGTAGATTTTATGACCTCAATTAGATTATTTTCATTAGAGTAGAACATGGCCTCACAATCAGGATTAAAGCACTTCGTGTCATGACTCTTTTCATTTTCTAATTGGATCAATATCTGTAACATACACACTTCAGTTTGTTTGTTTGTTTTTGCATTGGATGTAAATTTGTAGGCTCTTTTTTATCTTTATTTGCTCGTTTTATTATCCACTTATGATGTTGGTGTAATGTAAAGCATTTTGTGTCCTTGTTTGTATGCTATAGCCGAACCAACAACTTTATGGACTCTCCTATGGATTCCTCTAGGCAGTCCAAGAAGACCAGGCAGAACAGAGAGGCTAGGCGCAGCCAGAATCAGTCAAGGCCCCCTCCTCAAAAAGATGCCTATGCCAGGTTGCTGAGCCAGCACCGCAGCAGCATTTTCAGTTCATATTTAGAGCAATATGCACAGGACTCCTCCCAAAAAGAGGTAGATAAATCTTGTTCAGCACAAAGGGATGTGTTTAGTGTAACACAAAAAAAAAGGGATCAAGCGCAGGTCGATTTCTCAGAGTCAGGTGACTTCTCTCGGTTCTCTAAAGAAGATGAGACTTTCCTGTCATACTTGGAGAAGTTAAGCACACATGATACTCAGCAGGAGTGTGAAAGGCAGATAGGTGTGAGTGAGAGGCAGCTTCGAGGGCAGAGGAGGGACACCACCACCAGCCAGGACGGGGATATCGAATCTGGAGAGGAAATTCCCTGTGTGAGACCCGGCAGCACGAAGAAAAACCAGAAACTGAAAAGCAACCCCCCAATTGAGGCAAGTGTAAGTAAGCAGGAGCAAGAGAAGACAAAGAAGTCAAAGAAAAAAAGCCAACCCAAGGAGGAGAAAAACAGAGCGGAGATGTTCAACATGTCTGCTTATCCTCTGACACCGAGACCCAAACCAAATTATGGTAATAGTGGTAAACCCCAGCAGTCTGCAGGTTACTTAACACTTCTAGTTCTTTTACTTCAAAAACACTCTCCTTTCTAAATACAGCAGGTCATTAAATCCTTAAGTGAAATCTTTTTCAGCTGCTGGACCAAACTCTGCAGGTGAGAAGAGGAAGAATAAAGGAGACGGGAGGGCTAAAAAACATGTGTTTGAGTCCTACATGAGCTTTGAGGAGGTTTCCCATGGCCTCAAAAGAGGGGAGCTTTATCAGGTATGAACCCCACACAGGTGTTATTTTGGATTAGCTGCCTGCCTTTTTTATACAAGTCAGGTGCCCCAAATTGGACCAATTGAGTCCTCCAACATGAGTGGAAATGCAATGGTCAATAAAATGCTCCCCAAATAATCTAAAAGATTTGAGCAATTTTATATTTATCTGAAATTGAAGAAAACACTTTATTAAATTAAGAAATGTAAACTGACACAATGTTAAAGTGGCTGAGTTATTTTTGAAATCCCTTCTATGTCAACTACAGGGTCCAATAAGGATCAATCCCAAGAATTACAACGAAGCCTTCATCCCATCTCCTGTGAGTGAAAATGCATTCCACCACATACTACTGCTCTGTTTGGTGTTAAACTTTCAAAACTAAGGCAACCAGAAAACCTGCACGTTTTTTTTTTTCCTAATGTTTCCAGGATAATACACACGACATTTTCCTGGATGGAGTTGTTGCCCGCAACCGTGCGCTTAATGGAGACATAGTGGTGGTTCAAATCCTCCCCAGGGAGCAGTGGAAGGTAAAAGCTCACATCTAATAGTCCAGGAACATTTAATATTCATCCAGGGTCTCTTTATTGCCTGATGATTATAGATAATAAATGTATGTTTAGAATGTTGATTTTCTGTTTAGAAAATATTCCCTCGGTGTTTGGTTTCATTTGATGCAAATCAAACTGCAAAAAAAAAAAAAAAAAAAAAACTGCATGGGCTAGCCTTGCTAAGCTAGTAGGGCTCTGAGTAAAAGCTGGGGTTTTTTGCTGCTGTTGGAGCTACTTTAAGATAGCTATCATTGTAATATAATGCAAAACTACATCTGCAGCAAAGTGTCAGTTGTTTGTGTAACCTGATCACGCTGAATATCAACATATTTGCAAGGGTTTTGGTCAAGACCATACAGGAGTACAGAGACAAGGCCGAGGTCTTTGGATGCCTCTAAATGTCTTAGCCTTGTCTCGGATTCGTTACTCCTTCGTCTTGGTGGTGTGTTCATGACTACAACGCTACTACGCAACGGTAACTGAGATATCTGTTGAGTGTTAATAGAACTCAACTGAACTGGACCGTGCCAAACACAACCGAACCACACTAAATCTAGTACTAGTTCCACAGTAGGGTTCAGAATGGTTCATCTGTGGCTTGATACTCTGATAATAAAGAGTGCATGAACAGGTTCATCATGTCCTATTTGCAGTCAGTCGACTAATTTTGTGGGTTTTGGGGCGTGCAATTCGCAGATCTCTTCAGCTGTTCACAACACAAACTTCTCATCATTTTAACAATAAATGGCATCAAAAGAGTGTGGTGCGACCTGGGATGATGTCGACACAGAGGCTCTCATTGAAATTTGGATGAAGGACCCCATCCAGGCACATAAGTTTGTAAATTTTACGGCCCCTGCCATTTTGTTAGCGTAATTCCTGCCTTGAGAGCTGTAGTATCATTGACTGCCAATAAGAGGTGAAGAACTATGCTAGCGTGATGCGTAAATTGTCGTAAGAACCAAGCTCGGCTTGGTTAGCTGATCCAAGCTGGGTCTGAACTTAGCACAGCCCGATTTCAGAGCGGTGGTGTAAATGGGGCATGAGTCGGAACTTGTTAAGGGTTTTTGCATATGCACAAAATTCTGGACATTGTGTTTTAATATTTTTAGTCTGGAAACCAAATCATGATAAAATACCTAACTTTCTTGACTTATCTAGTTATTTTAGTATTTACATAATACATTTTTTTTCTAAAACCAGGTTTTTTTTATTTTGCAAATTACCTTCTCTTTTATTAACCACACCCAAACCTATATTATATTATATTCAAACTAATTGCTCATTTGGGTTTTTGACCATCAGCTTTCAACAGTATAAGGTGAGTCTGGATCCAACAACCTCAGGAAGGGAAGTCAATGTCTTGCAGCTGATGCCAAAAGAAAAGGTGCCCGCATACTGGAAAGCAATACTACTTAACACTAATGTTACAACTGTGTCTAGTGACTCGCTCAGTTTCTGATCATTACATTGTTTAATCTTACCAACTTAGTTTTAACCAACTAGATTGGTTGGAAAAACAACCAATCTATTCTTATAATCTATCCAAACTTTATCCAACTGACAACAACTCTCCTACAAACTCCCACATCTTGGCTGAGTAGCGAATGGCTAAGAGAGGAAAGAAATAAAAAATCACAACCAACATTATTGTCTCAGTATAAAAATATTGCAAGATTTTCCTACTTAAAAGGCAATGTTTATAAGCATACAAAACCCCCCCTTTTCTTTAAAACATCCCTCTAAATTGTATCTTTGAACGTAACCTAGTGATCAATTCAACAATTGAGTTCTGTCTATTGTTGTAACAGCATGAATGTTTGCCTCTGTAGGTGGTGAGGTCTGATACTGACTGCGATGGCACCAGTGAGTCTGACACGCAGGCAGAACACATGCAGCAGACGGGCCACGGCCCGACTACTAATCCTACAGTAGAGGACCAGTCAAGTGACCCAGAGGAGCTCATTAGAAAGGCTGACAGAGGTACTATGGAGAGACACGAAACGCAGGAGCCTGTCTAAATCACCAGTAAAAAGAAGTTATGTCCTGTGGCAATCTGATGCACAGTTACTGGCATGTTTTGTAAAAATAAAAGTCTAAGTAAGCCATCCCAGCTATGCTGATATCAACTCTGTGATCTTTACTCAGGGAAACATGTGGAGGATCCTTCAACAAGCCGACCAAATACTGAGATCCTCCAAAGAACAGCTAAAGTAAGCCTTTCTATGTGCCGTAGTTTCCCAACGAAAGGGACAACTTCCCTCCCAGTCGATGCCCGATGTGATCCCTAATGCCCCATTTTAGGCAGGCTGTAGACCAACCCCTTGTGGGTTTATGAAGTTGAAGCGTGCAAAGAGAGGAATCTTTCAGCAATCCTTTATAAAAATATGTTTTTTTTGTTTGTTTTTTTAACTTTATCTTGTGTTTTCTTCTGCTTTGGGTTTAAAAGTCCTGGGAACTTAAAAGGGAAACATCCCAAAGCACTTCAGAGCCTCCACCACCTAATGGTTGTTAAAAAAAATTTAGTGTGAGGTTGTGCTGCTGCAACTAAAGATGATTATATTTGGCGTAATGTGTCTTATGGCTTGAGTATTCCTTCCTCTCTGACTTGCTTTCTTAAGTGTCAAGTAAAAGAACTTTAAAGTCAGTACATTTGATCATAAAATAAAAGTATTTGTTTATCTAAAGGCTTTTCTCTTTAAAAGGAGCTTTTATCCTCTAGTTGAAAAGCAACAGCAGCAGGAATCATCAAAAGGATTTTGATTTGGGGGATTATATTCTCTCTGTGGGAGTATACCTGAGCATTTTAGGAAGAAAAATTTTATGAAAACATGTCTGAAATTCTACCTCCGCTTTCTGTGTGTAAATCTACCAGGTGGTTTACATCACTGAGAAAAAACACTCCCGAGCTGTGACCGGCCACCTGAAGTTACTACCAGACAAGCCCTTCGCCCTGTTTTCTCCTACAGACCATCGAGTGCCTCGAATTAATGTGAAGCTTGATGACTGTCCCGCAGACTTTAGAATTCACCCAAGCAACTTTGCCAACACCTTGTTCATCTGTCGGATCACCGACTGGGCTGCTGACAGCAACTTTGCTCTAGGGTGAGGAGCGGGTTATATAAAATATTTAAGAAAATAATGTAAAGATTCCAAAGCTGTACTAACTGGTAGATTTTCATCTCACCTTCAGCCAACTTGCTAAGACCCTCGGTCAAGCAGGTGAAATCGAGCCAGAGACTGAGGGAATCCTGACTGAATATGACGTGGATTTTTCAGAGTTCACAGAAGAGGTGTTGGACTGTCTTCCTAAGAACCTCCCCTGGACCATCCCGCCAGAGGAGTTTGAAAAGAGGAGGGACCTTCGGTAGGACCACAAAACTGTTTTACTCATGGAGCACATGTCTCCCCATGTTAATTACCACAATGACTTTTAGAGATTCACTGCCAAAGTGAAAACACTATGATTTCCTTTGAAGGAAGGAGTGTATCTTTACCATTGATCCTGTGACTGCTAGAGATCTGGATGATGCCCTGTCTTGTAAACAACTCCCAGATGGTAAGTTGCTGCTCATTGTTCGCCACTCAAAGCTTTAAGGGTGACGTTTCATGTCACTGTTTGCTTTAGGCAATTTGCTATATACTACCCTAACACGGCATGATGTTATTTACTTTTAAAGATTGGAAATTAGAGTAAAACAATCCACTTGCTTTTATTTAAGCAGAGAAGCAAAAGCTGTCCCTACTGCTGCTAAAACGCATTTAATATCTAATATTTCTGTTGTATTTAGTTTTTATTACTGTACTACAGCTTTAAGCACCACAAAGTGCTTTCTAAATAAAACAATTAACAATAAAATGATTATTAGTAATAATAATGTAATCAATAATATTGCCTTTTTGATTGTCTCTAAATACTTTTTGGTACGAAAAAACAGTCTCTTCTCTCTCACTCTCTCTTTTACCAATAGAGGGAGAATGTTGTTTTACTGCTTTGCTTAAATGTCTTTAATGAGCAAAAATATTAATTTTACCTAAGTTATTTATTTTTGAAAAATTGTTCAGTTCCATCATTTCTTATTGTGATCTTGGCATGATAAAAAGTTTAAAAACACCTTTGCCAAAACAACCTATACATTTAGGCTATTTTAGATGTACTAAAATTAGTGTTGTGCCAGTGGCATTTTTTGGCCCCGATATCGATACCCGATACCTGGCTGTGCAGCATCGGCTGATACCATCTGTTTGAAATTGAGGTGTGTGTGTGTGTGTGTATATCTGAAGAACTGCATACTACTTGGATGTTAAATAATAATTGCTGTTATGGCTTTGTAAAGCTGCTGCTGCCTTTGTGAAGCAGAAAAAATACTTTAACAAAGTGAATCCAGTAGAACTTTTTATTGCCTACCTGGAATGGGTAACTTTTGGCTCTCAATAAGGTATTGGTGCCCTATTTTTTGGTACTTGCCGATACCACCATTTTAGTGCAGTATCGGGGCCCCACCCAATACTGGTATCGGTGTCGGTGCAACACTAACTAAAATACAGGCAGATTGCTAGAGAAAATGTTTATCTCCCTCAAAACCTTTTGTCATTTGTCAATGTTAGTTTCTGCTCATCCTGTGTGGTTGTCAGTGCTGCATACAGGATTAAAAGGCACTTTTGAACACAGGCAACTTTGAGGTGGGGGTCCACATTGCTGATGTGAGTTTTTTTGTGGAGGAGGGAACTGCGCTTGATGCCATCGCCAGCCAAAGAGCCACCAGTGTGTACCTTGTTCAAAAGGTGAGTGCTCAGTAAACCCAAGACAAGTCAGTCGGACGTTTGATTTATTTATTTCGACTTCTTCAAAGGAAAAGTCCGGTCTGCAAGGAATACTCAATGGATCATTATCTATACCTAAAACTAAAACGTTTGCGGTGATTTAATGAATTTAGTGTTAATCAGTGAAAAAGTAAAAATAATCATTTTTGTAACAATCACAGAATCTGGGAGCCGCGATTTTTGCGCAAATATAGTAACGCCTTACTCCTGACATCTTCCAGCAGTGACGTCACGGTGCGCTAAGCTAAACGCCATTCTCCCCTCTTTACAAACAAAATCAATGGGAGCTACTAGACACATCTGCAATCAACAAAAATTAAGATTACGAGAGGACTTCACCATTGAAATTCATAAGAGCTATAGTTAAAGTAACAATGTCCACATGCATGGCAGTTGGATGCTGCAACACATCGAGTAAAAGTGAAAAAAATAATTAGTTATTTAACCTTTTCGATTCATCATCCTCCACGGACAGGTTCGTCGTTTGATTGACAACTTGAAGGTCAAGAATTTGCCCTTGATCTTCTGCCCAGACAAAAAACACTTATGTAGCCAACATTTGGAAGAAGAATGTTTTCAAGATTACTTGGATAATAGCGCATTGTGACAAACACTAGATACAACTCTGAGACTTGCTCAACAGCCGGTACCGCAGGGTATGTCACAAACCGGTAGGTGGCAGTAGTGTTCTTCGACAAACATGAATGCCTTCAGTAAAGCACATTCAAATGAAAATTACTCTTAATTGAAAACACTTATCACTTATCGTACAGTATGTAATCATTTTATATTTAAAGTACTTTCAGAAGTTTGAATTCTGAATACAACCTGTACTTTTCCTTTAAGGTTTTTTTGGGTTCAATAATTCACTTCGTAATGTGTTCTACCTTAGGTGATTCCCATGCTGCCCAGGCTGCTGTGTGAGGAGCTGTGCAGTCTCAACCCTCTCACTGACAGGCTCACTTTCTCTGTCATCTGGAAACTCACACCTGAGGGAAAGGTCTGTTGGAACAGATGAATCTCAGCTGAATTTAAATGAATACTTAAAAAAGCGTCTTGTTTAATGCGTTTTATCTAATCAAATGCAACCATTTGTCAGATCCTGGACGAGTGGTTCGGCCGCTCAGTCATCCGCTCCTGCGTGAAGCTGAGTTACGACGACGCTCAGAGAATGATTGATGCCCCTGATAAGCTGTTTCCTCCTGAGGAGCTTCCGCCTATCGACGGCGAACACACTATAGATGAAATACACCAAGCTGTGCTCTACCTGCACTCCATCGCCAAGAACCTTCGAGCCCAACGCTTCATAGGAGGAGCTCTTAGACTGGACCAGGTCAGCTCATTTGACTGGATTCATGAACCTTACTGAACCATACAGCTGCTGTCAAAATGGTTAAACCAAAAATATTCATGTGTAAAATGGTCTAGTCAAAGTCCAGGCCTAAAATGGAATTCTTTTTCATAACTTGTTTTTTCTTTCAGCTGAAAATTTCTTTCACTCTCGACAAAGAGACCATGATGCCTCAAGGTTGTTATATCTATGAATACAGAGACAGCAACAGGTCAGTAACCTCCGTTTTATTTTTCAAATCTGTTTCCTCATATTTGGTCAAATGTAATAGTTTTGTCAAAACTTCATCAAATGAATCTAATACTAAAAGCCAAGAGACATGTTTTTTCTTCATGCTGTCTTTTTTTTTTTTTTTTAGGTTGGTGGAGGAGTTCATGCTGCTGGCTAACATAGCCTCAGCGACCCATATTTATGGGATGTTCCCTGATCTGGCCCTGCTGCGGCGCCACCCTCCACCCAAAGAGAAGATGGTGAAGGAGCTGGAGGTGTTGTGTAGAAAGCTGGGATTGAACATCGACTTCTCCTCTGCAGGATCCATTCATGTCAGTATCTTTGGATCAGAAACTGTCAGAACCCGTTTATTATTTCCATCATACTAAGATCGAATGCTCGATGTTGGTCAGTGGGACTTTTTAGAGATATTCTCATAGTGTAGCAACAGGGACTCCTGACACTGACTTACTGTGATTTGTATAGAACATGTTCTCCTGTGTACATCGACCGTTTATTAATGTCTCTCATGTCTCCCACCAAACAGAAGAGCCTTAGTACCGTTTATGGAAACGACGAGTACTCTGCTTACAGAAAAGAAGTCCTCACCAACATGTGCTCCAGACCCATGCAGGTCAGAACTGATCTGTTTCTCTGTTTATGTTTCTGCATTTCTATAAACAGACTTATTGATGCCAGATTACTACACAAAGATGAAAACTTTCCCCACATTTACACTCCTATTGCTCTGCTTATCGCTCACCTTAGATTCACACTAACAGGCAGAAAGGCTCATATATCTTTAAAGACTGAGCTTAAATAATCATTCATTACATAATAATCTTAGAATGAACATTCCAGAAAATTTGATTCCAAAAAGTTAGTAAGGGGAAAACATTTTGCTTTTGCTTTTAATGAAACACAAGGTCTCCTACTTTAAAACCTCCCAAGGCTGGACTGAGTGGGATCTTTATTTCTGTTAGGAGATGGTCATGAATAAATGTGGATTTAGTTTGTGGTCATTTCTGTTAATCGGGCCAGAGAAGCCAAGCAGGATTTTAGTTAGGTAAATATCCTGTTTATTGCTTTTTTTTGTTTGTTTTTTTGTTTCCTATTTGTTTGTCCCCATATCTATGGAGAACTGATCCTGCATAATTAAAAATGCATATAAAGTAAAATCAGGTACCAAAAATTCAAACTAAATATTCATACTTTAAATAGCTGAAAAATAATAATAAAAGTGCATTGATAAAATTGAATAGTTGAAATAAAAGTTATGCTTACATCTAAGTAATTTATATATTTTTTTAAATAAAATATATCTAATTTTTTATCACTCAGTAATTTACATTTTAAGCTATTATTTCAGCTGTGGATTATATTTACGAGTCATGTTTATATTGCTTTATGCATTTTAATGATGGCAGGATTGGTCCACCATACTTTTTTTCTTCTTCATTCTAAACAAACCAATTTGTCCATGTCAGCATGTTTTCGTAACAGTACGTCTTTTAGGAAAAGCAAAGAAGATTATTAAAAAAATAAATAAATAAACAGTCTGAGCTGTACTGACTCTGCCCCTTTTGTATTTTTCTTTTTCATCTGAAAGGACTTCCCTTCTATTCTTTTTCCTGAAATTGTAAAGGAATTTGCTTGGTGACCCCTATTAATAGAAATAAATGAAGTTTGAGTTTTCATCTGTCATCTGTACGGTTTTTGTCCTCAGCTGGCGATGTACTTCTGTAGCGGAACACTGATGCAGAAGGAAGACTTTAGGCACTACGCTCTTAATGTTCCCCTCTACACGCACTTCACATCGCCCATCAGACGCTACGCTGACATCATCGTGCACCGGCTGCTGGCATCATCTCTGAGTAGGTGTCACTTCTTCTTAGAAGGCAAACAGACAACCACTTGTCCTGCTTTGTTGTTGTTGCACACTTTGTTTGATGAAAGGAATCAAGAGCAAAGATAAAAGACATGTTTGTTTTATTTTCTGTTGTCATTATCTGCCACATTTACGATATTTTATGTCCTCTGATTGTTTTTGCTCAGATCTCGGGCCTTCTTTAGGCCTGTCTACGCAGGAAGTGGAAAAACAGGCAAAACACTGCAATGATAAGAAGACTTCGTCCAAGAGAGTCCAGGAGCTCAGCTCTGAGCTTTACTTTGGGGTCTTTGTGAAGGTGGGCAACCAGATCATGCCACACATGCCTGATATAAGGTTTAAGATTACAGTAAACAAAATCAATCTAATTTTAATTTCTATTAGTCAATTGTATTGCCTAGCAATATTTTATAAAATCTGTGGTCAAAATGATCCTTTTTATTAGGTTATCTGTTTTAAAACTATTTATACAGTAGCAGCCATTAAAAATGGTCCTTCCCTCCACCTCCCAGCAAAATCCCCTTCAACCTCCAGTCACTGCAGTGACCCCCTCTTGCATATTTGTTTACCCTAACTCCACCCTCTCACTGAATTACAGGGTCTGACCAGGAGAAGATGCTTCTCTTAAGATCTTAATGTCCACAAATCATGATAGAATATTTTAGTACAAAGACTCATGTTTAAAAAGGAATTGTGGGGGACCAAAAAAGGGCCCATCAAGGAAATTGGGTAAATTTTGAATGGCTACTACTGTAGCACATATAAAGTAGAGGTGTGGGGGTGTTGTTTGGTACAGGTTTAGTAAAAAGGGCTGAACAAAATGACCAAAAATCAAAATTGCATTTTATTTTTGTTTTGTTTTTTTTCCAAACCGATATATTTTCCTTTGCACTGACCAGCAACATAGATTGTTTACTCAAGGCTTTAATTGTTTTAATGGCTTGATCTTTTTTTTCTTGTTTGTTTGTTTTGCTCCCAGTTCATTGTCAAAGGACAGAACTTTTACCGTTGCATGATAGCAAATGTAAAAACCAGTACTGCTGCCAGTGTAATACACCTACAGCATTATACTACTTACCTTGTTTGCAATGTTAAGAGGAGTTACTGGATTTAAATCCTACCAACCAATGGACAAAGATGACTTTCCTACAAAGTTATCTTTATATTTAACTTAATATATTTTCATGTTTTTATTTTTTACCTTTGGTCATAATATTTGGAAATATAGGCTTCCTATGTGAGGCGCGCTATACCTAATGTTTAGTGTTATTTTTGTTTTTTTTTAAATAAATATTGTCATCTCCTCCAGCCGTATGGTTTGGAGCCATCTTTTCTTATGACCACTTTCACAGTATGCAGTAACACACAGTCTGCTCTTTTTAATAGGTTATTTACGCAGGTGATCTTTGTAAATCACCCACAGCAGCCTTACTTATTGCACCTGCAGAACATCAGGACAATTGTTTGGTGGAATTTTAACCGGCATTCAGTGTAAAAAATAATCAGCATCATGCACTACTGAACTATTTTTCAGTATCGCATGACAGTGGATAGGGTGACAGTGGCGTCAGATGTAGGAGTTTGCCCTGAAATCGAAGGATTGACGGTTCAAGCCCCGTCTCCGACTTTCAGTGTCGTTGTGTCCTTGGGCAAGACACTTCACCTGCATTGTCTACTGATGGTGGTCAGAGGGCCCGGTGGCGCCAGTGTACGGCAGCCCCGCTTCTGTCAGTGAGCCCCAGGGCAGCTGTGGCTACAATGTAGCTTGCCACCATCAGTGTGTGTGTGAATGGGTGAATGAATGTAGTGTAAAGCCCTTTGGTCAAGTCTCCTAACTTGAATAAAGGCGCTATATAAGTACATGCCATTTACCTTTTATTTTTGTTTTTCAATTCTTGCTATGTGTCTTTTTGTTAAACTCTGATAAAAGTGGATACACTTCTTAAAGTTCACCTACTGTTTTGCTCTGTAGGAGTGTGGTCCACTGGACTCTAAGGCCATGGTGATGGGGGTGCTGGATAAGTGTTTTGATTTACTGGTTCTCAAATACGGAGTGCAGAAACGCATTTACTACAAGGTAAGCTTCAACTTGATTTTCTTTAACTTATTTGTTAATGTATTCTTTTTTAGGCTGCTCTCATTTTTCTTCCCTAAATACCTACTTCCTTTTTGAAAGGATGTTTTAGCTTATATTTATTTTACCCTTGTAAATCTGGGGAAAGTAAAGATAACAGAGGAGTGCCGCTGAATCCTGCCAACAAGTTATTGCCAGAGTTGTTTTCTGAAACTGCTTTAATTTCTTTCCTTGTAGTCTATTGTCGGCTTGGACTCATTCCACTATTGGAAGAGAGACAAAGTCCCTCAGCTCAAACTGGTCTGGACTGGTAAGGATCTAGAGAGTCCCTCTGTGGAGCAGGTGAGAGAAACGATCTGATGGCTACACATGTGGGATTTCTGATATCAATGGTACTCACTAAATTATAATGTATAACTTAATAAAGATATATGGTTCAGAGACCTATTAACTCAGTGGTTGATACTATTAGCAGTCTGTTATATTTTCCTTTTTTTGTTGTGAAGCATGTTTCACTGGCCCTCGTGGAGGTGATGACTGAAATCAAAATGTTTTTCGAAACAATTTTGATTACTCTTATTTTTCTTGGGAGAAAAAATTAAAGATTATATTTTTGTGTGCCATATCATCCAGCCCTAATTCACAACAACAATGGAGGCACAACACTGAGCATGTGCATAGGGGGTAAAAAAAGGAAATATTGGACTAAGCCAGTTAGCAACTGCCAGCTGAGTTTTGAAAATAATTACCAAAAGTCCAAGATCTAGTGTGAAAAAGTCCAAAAATAGATTTGATTCCAAGAGACCTGAACAGCGCTGAGGCTCCAATATTAACATTGGTGTTTACTGAAGAGCTAGAGCTGCGTTCAGATGTGGCTGTGCAATGATGGATGTGCAAATAAACGGCCTTATTAATACTGATCCTATTGATAGCAATGCTGCCTTTGCAGTCTAAATACAATAACATTATAAATAGTTGGAGGGAAATAAATAGGGACAGTTTTCTGTCACTCCTGCTAAAATCCAGATGACTTAGATCAGGGATAAATTCAAGGCTTATTAACTTTGCACTTTAGGTGTTTAAATGATGTTAGTTTGTTCTGATAAGAGGCTCTGGATGATTTACTAGAACAGATTATTGAATTAAAATTGGTTGATTTTGATTTAATAACACATCGACGTGTCGCCTTTCCACAAAGCCTGATAGAAAGGTCAGACTTCAATATGTAGCTGCGTAATGTCATCTGGCTTTCTGGTAGTTTGGCTTTTTTGCCAGTAGATGGCGCCATATCTTATGTCTGCTTGTGTTTTACCTCATAAAGGACTATCAAAACACTTTCATGATGGACGCTTGGTGTGTATAGCCTTATTTTAACATGACTAAGTGGTTTTTTGTTGCTTTTGTACTGGCATATAATGTGAATGCCTCTTTAAGAGCTCTGATATAGGAAAAACAGTAAGAGGTTAGAGAGGTTTGCTTCTTACATTAATAACCATTGGAATCATTAAAAAAAAATATGTTCTCTTGAGTATGTACTGGAAACAGAAAATTTTAAAACAAACAGTCCTAAAGATGTTTGTTTTGGAACCCCATAGTGCTGACATTTTTGACAGTTACTCATGTTGAGGACTAACTTTATTAAATCCTTCTGTGATGGTGGCTCAGAATGGTTTCTCCAATTACCAGTGGGTTGCTGGTTTGAGCCCCTGCTCCATCCGGCTCCTGTTGGTAGTGCTGATGGTACTGCATGGCAGCCTTGTTTCTGTCTTCGTGCCCCAGGACAGCTGTAGTTTATCACCATCAGAGTGTGAATTACTGCCTGTAGTATAAAGCTCTTTGGGGTCCTTTGACTTGATAAAACATTATTTTATTTTACCATTTCTCCATCAACTTAACAAATTTACATTCTTCAACAAATAAATCACCTTTTTTTTTTTTTTTAGATACAAGTATGCATGTATTAAATTTGGTTTGATTTTTAAAGTGCGGTAAGGCATCAGTATCAATGTGCTGCATAAGCTTAGGGCCTTCTGATCAGTGTTGAGACTGACGCGCTATTAAGTAACGCGTTACAGTAACGTTAACTTTTGCAGTAACTAGCATTGAACTAATTAGTTTGTAAAAGTGAGTAACGTGTTATGCTACGTTCACACTTAACGGATTTGAGCAACTTCATTTTCATTGGACAAGGATGTCCACATTAATGTGTGAAGATGCTCCTGAGTAGAGTCCAGTAAAGTTTGTAGAGATGCATCTGATGCTTCTGTGTTCATTGGCAGAGTGGCTTTGATATACTTGCTATGGGTAAAAAGTAGAAAGGTAGAAACCACCTTAAAACATTGTCTGTGCAGCCAGTTCACTAAGATTACAAGATTAGAATTAGATTTTGCTGTCAGAGACACATAGACCCAGACATACTGACGGAGCGCTGTCACTGGGCATCCAGCAGCAGCTTCCTCAGGCCAGCCAGCATCTTGGGAGGTTTTTTGCTACTGTTCTTGCCGACTGAAAGTAGAATTTAGCGTTTTTTAGTTATGTGTTACAAACTGCAGGCACCAGAATAATAAAACAAACATATTTCCCCTGCAAGTTCGACATTTTAAATTAATTTAGGCATTAATACACTGTTTTGGTGGAGTGATCTGTGAGCCAGACTTTAAGAGTTATGAACCTTTCAAACAGGCCCCCAACATTTCTAAATCCAATGCATTTCCACAACAGAGAAGGTTCCAGAGTTGAGGATAAAATATTTATTTGATTTCTCCTTCAGCATGTGTCTCCACTTTACTTTAAATATGGCCTTTTTCACCTCTAACTTAAAAATACATTTCAAACCTCTCAGTGATTAAATACGATTGCAGAGTTGAAAATCAAAACTCTGCAATCGTATTTAATCACTGTCAGCCACTGTGTCCACACTGAATATTAGGCCTCATAAGTATGTGGGGGGGGGAAAGGGCTTATTGGTATAAAATATGTCATTTAGCCTTTATGATGTATACAATGGGTCAACATATGAGACCCAAAATTATAATCTAGTGAATTAAAGCATAACAACAGTGTTTTTCTTTCCCCTCAGGTGATTTCCATCTTCTCTGTAATAGAGGTGCAGCTCAAGGCGGACGAAGCTCCTCTTAAATACAGCGCAATTCTCAAGAGGCCTGAGAGCAGCGCATCCTAGAGCACTGACCGCAATTTGCACAAAGTTTGGACTTGCACATTATGTGTTGTTTCCAAATAGGACGGACTGTGAAGTTGATGTTGTACTGCACGCTAGCATCCATCCAACAAAGTCGAATCCTGGCAGATCTCTGTGCAAGGACAGGCGCTCATTACAAGTTTACTTTTTGTTGTTTTTAACCGACCTCACACAGCCGCCGTCTTTTCCCCAAGGACCTTTGGAAGCTGATTGTGCTTCCATTGCATATCTCACACATTGAGATGTTTCCCATCTCTTTCTTTTTTTGAAAGTGTAAACAACATTAACACTTGCTTAGATTATTTTATTTCCCTGACTAGTTTTTAAATATTTAAAAATTTTAAGTTAATCGTTTAGCAAATCGGTTAGCTTTCTTAAAAATGTAAACAGGTGCTGATATTTTCAGTCACTATTTTATTTCTTTTGATCAACTGAGGTTAGTTTGGTTGTAGTGGAAATGCATTTTTAGATCTATAGATTCTATTTTTTTTTTCCTAGCAAAGGAAAAGCCTCTCATTTTAGGTAAATAAGCTCATATTATACTCCAACTTATACTGTGATGGATTTACCTTGACTTTAACATATAGTGAGTACATACTTTCAGTAGCGAAATTAGAGTAAACCTTCATTAAGACTCACAGTTCTGGTCAGAAGTTTATCCATTTATCACCAGCATTGATGTTGAATCAATCCTGGGCTTTTTCTCTTCTTCTTGAAACAACAAACTCTGAAATGTCATAGAACTTAAAGGACTTCTAAACATAGTAGCCTATTTAGGATTTATGTTGTTTTTTTTTCTCTAACAAATCAAAAATCACATAAAACACTCAGTGTCGACTATATTCATACTCTCCCTCCCCCAATTTTCTGAAATGCCTCTTAGCAAGTTTAGGTAAGTTTTTATTCTGGCACAGACAGCCTTTGAGCTTAGTTGCTGAGAGAAACATAAATATGACAACAACTGGGGCTGGTGGCTCTTCCAGAATTCTAATGTTAGCATGTTTTCAAAACCAGCTTTAAGATTATTGGCCAGTTAAATCAGTCAAATTTGTCCAGGTTTTCATAGTGACATTACTGGTCTGTGGTGAGGTTGGTGAATTTGGAAATGATTCTGTTTTGCTAAATATTTCATCCACAGACCTTCATGATGCTGCCACCACCATGCCTGACTGTTGTTGCAGTCATATGTTTCAAACATCAGGCTCACCTGTGTCCTCCAAATATGGCTCTAATTTTCCCACTTTAGATACATTTTCGAAATATTTTCCAGAAGGTGCGTAGTTCGTCTTTGTGGCCAACTGGAAATCGCAGTCCAAATTGAAGTTTTCTATTCAGGAACAAGAGTTTCTTTCTTGGCCAGTGTTCTCTCTGTGCTGATTTTTAAACATTCTGGATGGAAAGAAACTTGTGTTTTAATAACTAAAATGTTTGATTGAGGCTGTTCCGTGAGGACAAACATCAGGTCACGTCTTAACTAGCTTTGGAAAGGATAAAGTTAGACTTTCTGAACGTCCCTAACTGCATCTTCTTACTGTTTTTTTGGGCTAGTTTGTAACTTGCTCAAAAAAAGCTTCTGTTTCTCCACAGTGTACTTAAGAGGGATTCTCCTTATCTTAGCTGGAGTATATATGAGGCAAATCTCTAATTAAAATGTTTGGTGGGAGGGAAAAAAAAAATCTGCTTTAATTTCTTACTCATTCAGACCAATTGTTCCGAAGCTTTGCATTAACTAATAAAAGCCCCAAATTGATTTTACACCAATGACTGTAAGTAAACCTCTGGTAAGAACTCATGTTTATGGAGATTCACAGTAGAGATTATATAGAATGGCGACTATTTAAAAAAAAAAAAAAAAGTTGTCATTGTGTTAAATATTGTGATACGACACAGTTTGGGCCTTTAAAGCCAAACAATCTCTGTTTACATTTCAGTGGAAACCGGTGTTATTGTTGGGTAGAAAATTGAGGTTTTTCCTCTTCTAGTGTCCGTTTGTGAAACTTATTTTATTTCAGTGAGCTTCATGCTCTCTTTCTTTCAGCGTGCCAGTAAGTCCAAAGCTTTAACCTCTGTCAGCTCCTTATGTTTTTAATCTAATATTGGGATTGACTTGAATGTGAAAGCTGCTAAAACCCGGTGGCCTTAGAGGTCTCAATGAATTATTTCTTTGCAAATGTGGTACAATGTGTGATTAGTGTCTTTTTTTTTTCTCTTTTAGCTATGTTATCAGATTTGATGGAGCAGAAACACTTTTGCTCTTAATCAGATGTTTATTTAAGGTCTTAAATGTAAAAAATATGATGGTAGTTTGGTAATATTAGTGTCCTGCTTAGTGTTTATAAAGATGGGACATAAAAGTGCCACAGGATTCTGTGTTTTGTTTCTTTTTTAAAGTTATGACATTTGGGAAGAAAAAAAAAAATTTTTTTTTTTAAACTGATTTAAAGAAGTCAAATGTGGGGTTAAAAAAATCCAACCCATTTAGTCTTCTTGCAAAGGTTATATCATCAAGTGTAACGTAGATAAACTGCATTTACTGTGTGCGCAGTCTGATGTGTTATCCTTCACCCAAACGTATTCTATTGTCTTTTGCTTCAGGAAAATATACTGATTAATCCAAACTGTGTTGGGGGTTTTTCTGAGCTTCGCTCGCCTTTGTTGAAGTCACTAAAGAAAGGGAGGGGAATACAAAGTCTAATCCAGGATGAACGGATCATGGTCATAACTTCTGTTATTTGCTCACACACCAAGCTCACTCACATCCCTATACTGTTTATTTATAGCCGGTAAACATAAGGATGGTTAGTGTTGTCAAGGAGTGTCTCCATCAATTAGTTATAGATAGCCTGGTGCAGTACCAGTCACATAATGAAAAATGATCATCACCATCATAATATGAGTGATTACTGTCAGTCAGCCACCAGAATCCTCCAAGTAAAACAGTTGGTTTGTTATTTAATGACATACATGCTCATGTTTTTGATTACATCATAGAAAAGTGTTTTTGTGTGTTATATATATTCAACTCTGTCTGCACGTCTTACAGGGAGTTCCTTATCAGGTTCTGATTACAAGGATGGCAGTGAATAATCAGCAAAAGCTGACACCCTGCTCAGCCCTGCTGTCAGAAGGCTGTAAATCGACACAGAGTGGGTAAACGCTGCAGTGGTTCCTCACAGAGTGTGTCCCTGTGAGCAGAAAACGTGACAAGCCCAGGTAGAAACCCTGAGCGGAGCTGTATGACAGGAAAGGAGGAGATTTCTAGATCCCAGGTTTTTATCTTTATTGCCGTGGCACTGAGATGCTCCGCTACGTCCCTTCAGATTTACACAAGCAGAGTCCAAAGGCTGCACATAAATACATTACGACACTCCGTGACCCTGCCGGGTTAACGTCAAGGCTGATAATGTAAACTATTGGATAACATAAGCATCGAGACTGAGTGGTGGCAGCTTTCCAAGCTGGTCCTTCTCTTCAGGTTTCATCTAGATATTTGGCTCCTTGGTTCCTCATCAGTATGTCTATTTTACACACAGCAAAGGCTCAAATATTTGAGTTCATTTAAAGTTCAGGAAAAACCATAAAGAACTACCCTGGAAAGAGGGCGGATTGAGATGGAGCTCATTAAAGGCAAGACAGCTGTTCACCTCTTTGAGTTTCATTTCATTTCCGTCAGAGCCAGTCCAAAGTCAAAGCACCATAAACACCACATCTATCATAGAAGAGCTGTGTTTCCTCCTTCCTTATTCTGAGTCAGATACTTCATCAGATCAAGTCAAGTCGGGAGGCTTAATTAGATCACAAGCCAAAGGATTGAGGGGTATACTTTATAATTTTTCTTAAATGTTTGACCTTTTATGATTCCCCCAGAAAACCTCAAGTGGATTTTGTTTGATGTATTGATTTTGAGTGACAGCCTGAAGTTGAACATTTGGAAACCTTTGGATTTCACTTTGGGATTTACTCCTTTTTTAAGGAACGGGTCAAATCTAATTGAAGATGCTGAGAAAGGTAAGATCGGATGTATGGATCTATGAAATATAGCCTACTGAGACTAGCTGCCTTTATACGTTAACTACAAGGGCCTATATATAAAACCTGATCAAATAACCACATATGGATTACCATAGACTATTAAACGTTGTGATGTTAGTCAGTTTTCCTCTATTTGCTGTCTTGTTTTCAGGGGGAATGGGTCTGGGTGGACTCAGACATCGGGGTCCCCATTGGAGCTCGGGTCAAAGAAACATCAACTGGTCTGAGATTATTGGTGGATGATGAGGGAAATGTAGGTAACATCTGACGATTAAATGAGGATTAAAATAAAAGTGTCTCATTCTGCCACTATTGGTGTTTTCTATTGATGATCCCTTAGGAGCGGCGTTTGTCCAAGGAGGAGGAAGCCTCTCTCAGGATCATGCACGCGACATCTGTTGAGGGGGTGGATGACATGATCAAGCTTGGGGACATGACGGAGGCTGCCCTCCTCAGGAACCTGTCGCTCAGACACAAGCGAGGACACATCTATGTAAGCCATAAAACTCACTGGGAAAAACGCTGTTGGCCTTTTTGCATCTATTTTAATAAATCAGTCTTTTTTTATTGTAAATTCACCTCTGGAAGTTTTATTTATTTATATGTGTATAAAGATAAGTAGATCATGATATGAGGGTGTTCACCCTGTTAAAATATTTGCATAGAGGCAGAAGTCCAAAATGTCTACCTTTAGATATTTGGTATCTTAATAAAAACAGTGGAGTTCAGTAACGCAAACAATGCCTAATAATGGTTTTAAAAAGTAAAAGATAATTATTTGAATACTTTTCAATCAAATTGTAAATGTATCTTCCTTTTGGTTCTTTTGTATGTAGCTTTTTTTGTTGTTATTTTATTATCTCTTACTTTATGCTCTTCAATCTAAAATGAGACTCATTACCTGAACAGCCAAAATGAAAATTAAATCAGTTGAGGTCAAATTTAGAAACACCTGCTATAACCTGGTTATAAAAGCGTAAACCCTTAAGCGAATAGTTTATTTAAACCTCTTTAATTCAGTTACAGTTTTTTTAAATAAGAGTATATCTTTGTAATATGTCTCCTCTTTAACTTGTAGAGGTTAAATCAGTTTGTTGGGCTGTCGAACATATATATTTATATATATTTTGGGTCAAAATTTGCACCTGTCTCTTATTTTTTCAACTTGGTTTTTAAAAAAAAACACATCTATTGAGTGTAAAGTGACCCCATAGTTGTGATAATCCTCGACTTGTCACAGCTTAAACAGTTTTGGAAGATTTCAGTCAGGTCTGTTTTAGCTCTTAGACTTACCTGTACTGAACTGAAGCTCCTCTGGCGTTATTGAGTAACTGACTTGTTTTAATCTTGTGATTTTACCAGTTTTGGAAGAAAATACAAAATGTGTGACATTAAAGCTTTTGGAACCGTTAATGTTACTCCTGCTACATAATGAAAAGGCTTTGATTCAGTTTATTCCTGCAGGAGATAAAACAAACTGGTCAAATATAGATCTAATCATATAGAATCTAAGCTGATCCAAGTTTAATTAGATTAAATCCGATACATTTGAAAACAACTGAATCAGATGCATTAACGTGAAGTAATGTATTTAGTCAGGTAGTATCACATAATGTCAAGTTGTCTGTCTGAACTTTGCAGCTGTTCCTCTTGATTTACAAATATAATTTTAAATTGATGTCATATTATCTGCAATTATTATTAGCCGTCTTTACTTAACTGCCAATAAATCAGAGCTTTAGGTAAAGATTTGCAGAGATTTCTGGGAAATCCTTGTAGGTTGTCAAAATGTATGCATGTTATTCATGTTGACTGTACAGTAGCTAAAGAAATCACTAAAATAGAAACAAAAGATGCTTTGATCTAATGTTAGTTTAAAGTATATTAAAGCGTATGTTCTATATTTCAACCTTGCAGATATCCGCTGTTGAATTGAGGTTGGAAAAAGAAATAGAAAAGCTTGAAATCTCTTTTTCTTTAAGTCTTTTTAAGGGTTTATCTCAAAGGTTTCCAAACATACCAGAGCCAGACAATATATGGTTATTGAGGAGGATTTTCCTTATTTTTATTTTATACAACAAAAATCTCAAGCTTAACTCTTTTAAACCTTCCCAACGCTTTAAAACTTGTTTGGCTTTTTTTGGCCCCAGTTCAAAAAGCTGTTTTTATTTATTTCTTCCAGACCTACATAGGTTCAGTTTTGGTGGCGGTGAATCCGTACCAGGATTTTCCCATATACTCAGACGAACAGGTGAGTCTCTGCTGATGTGTGAGGCTCTGTCAGCATCCTCCATAACCTGCAGCTATCATGCTCCTCATGTGTGCCATCCTGCTGTTCCACAGGTGAGATTGTACCACAGTCGGAAGCTCGGAGAACTCCCCCCGCACATTTTCGCCATCGCTGAGTCCTGCTACTTCAACATGACTCGCCATCTCAAGAACCAATGCTGCATCATTAGGTCAGAGACCATCACATGCTGTCTTGGGTTAAATCGGTCTGTTTGCAACTTTCCTGGTCATCACCTGAGTTTTGTGTTTCCTGCTTTTCTCTCAGCGGGGAGTCTGGAGCTGGGAAGACGGAGAGCACCAAACTGATCCTCCAATATTTGGCTGCTGTGAGCGGGAAACTCTCTCAGCAGCAGATCGAAAAGCAGATCCTGGAGTCCAACCCCATTCTGGAAGGTACCCCATCAGCAATGGGGGAGTGGCGGCCTAGTGGATAGGGCATAGAGCTTGGAATCCTGAGGTTCTAAGTTCGATCCCCCACTCCCACAGACTGCCATTCTAGTTCACTGAGAAAAAGACCCTTAAAAATGTGTTTAAGGATTGGTCTGTCTCTGAAGCTTGATTTGGTTTCTGTTTTACTAGGAGAGTTTATCAGCAGTCACAATTTAGTTAATTAAATCATTGTACTTGGTAAAAGGTTTATTTTTAAAGCCAAAAATAGATTCTCACTTAGTATTTATTTCTTTAAAACATTTATTCAGCATTTTTTAACTTTAAAAAAAGTTATATGGTTCAAATCGATAATGAAGCCAGAAAATATAAAAACAGATGGGAAGTTATTAAATGTTAACTCTAAAAATTTAATTTGTGCAAGAGTGTAACTTTGTGATGAAAGTTGGTGGCCACTCTCTTAGGATGGGGGCTGATGGACCTTCAGTTACTAGACACAAACGCTTTCAAAAGGCTTTTTATTTTCCAAAAATGAGCTCAAACATACACTATATTGCCAAAAGTATTTGCTCACCTGCCTTGACTCACATATGAGCTTAAGTGACATCCCGTTCCTAATCCATAGGGTTCAATATGACGTCAGTCCACCCTTTGCAGCTAGAACAGCTTCAACTCTTCTGGGAAGGCTGTCCACAAGGTTTAGGAGTGTGTTTATGGGAATTTTTGACCATTCTTCCAGAAGCGCATTTGTGAGGTCGCACACTGATGTTGGACGAGAAGGCCATTGCTGCATCTTCCATATCACTTTGTAAATCTGGCA